TTTAAGATTTTATTTATTTATTTGAGAGAGCGAGAATGAGAGACAGTACATGAGGGGGGGAGGGTCAGAGGGAGAAGCAGGCTCCTCGCTGAGCAGGGAGCCCGATGCGGGACTCGATCCCTGGACTCCAGGATCATGACCTGAGCCGAAGGCAGTGGCTTAACCAACTGAGCCACCCAGGCGCCCTGTGGCTTGCTTCTAAAACCGGTAAGAGTACACGACGGCAGGGCAGAGGTGATAGACACATGATAACGTGTACGTGATTATTTACAATCATTACAAGATTGTAACATCCTCACTTCCCCTTACTGGCTTTGATGAGGGAGCAGAAGGCTAGCTGAAGACAAAGCACGAACTGACACCCTGCGACCTCCCCCCTCCCCACTCCTGGGTGGGACCTGTGTCAGGTTCTTCCAGGAATCTCCCAACTATCTTATTGTTAATACCTTGCTAGAGGGGAAAACAACCTTCACTTGACAAAACGGCAAGGCCTCTGGCGTCTTGTAGGTATTTTGTAGGCTAGTCCTCTTTAGCATGTGAAAGTTCTTTTGAAACCTCCCTTTTCCTTACCTCCCAACTCCGAGTATATAATCACCACTCCTCAAGACCGAGGTGCAGCAAGCAGTTCTTTCTGTCCCCCGGGTCCTGTCCCCGTGCTTTAATAAACCACCATTTTGCACCAAAGACGTCTCAAGAATTCTTTCTTGGTCGTTGGCTCCGGACCTCACCCCACTGAACCTCACCTATATTCCAAAACCACATTAGCTTTGAGGAAGCAAGTCCATGTTGGGAAGCCTCGCGGGGCAAAAAACTGAGGACAACTGATTGCCAATCAGACAGCAAACAACTGAGGCCTCGGTCCAGCAGCCCTCAAGGACCTGAATGCTGCCAATAACCACTGAGCTTCCAAGCAGATCCTTCCCCAGGCCAGTCTCCTAGGACACTGCAGCCTTGTGAAGTAGGCTTGTGATTCATTTTGTAATGTTTCACACAGTAACAGATAACTAATACACCACCCCTCACCTTCCAGTCTCTTTGCTCCTGCAATTCTATCCCCTTTCTCCTGAATCATCAGTATCTCCCTTAACATTTGGTCACTAACACCAACCCGTAAGCATGCTCTAGGGTCTGCCATCTTTTTTTTTTTAAGATTTTATTTATTTGTCAGAGAGAGCACAGCAGGGGGGGTGGCGGCAGACAGAGGGAGAAGCAGGCTCCCTGCTGAGCAGGGAACCCAATGCAGGACTTGATCCCAGAACTCTGGGATCATGACATGAACCAAAGGCAGCCGTGTGACCGTAGAATCTGCCATCTTAAAAAATACTCTTCCAGTGCCTCTTTTTTTTTTTTTTTTTAAGATTTTATTTATTTATTTGACAGAGAGAGACGCAGCGAGAGAGGGAACACAAGCAGGGGGAGTGGGAGAGGGAGAAGCAGGCTTCCCACCGAGCAGGGAGCCTGATGTGGGACTCGATCCCAGGACCCTGGGATCATGACCTGAGCCGAAGGCAGACGCTTAACGACTGAGCCACCCAGGCGCCCTCTTCCAGTGCCTCTTACTTGGCTAATTATCACCTCATTTCTCTACTCTCCTACATGGCAAAACTTCTTGACATCCTTGTCTCTAGCCATTGTCCACATTTCTCAAATTCTCCCCTCAACCCACCATTCTTAGTGAGGTCCCTAGTGACCTACATGTCACCCAATCCAAAAGTCACGTCTCTCTCATCTTACTCGCCTTCTCAGTGGCATTTGACACAGTCAGCCACGTCCTCTTCCTTGAAATACACCCTCTCCCACTTTGTGGACATGACCTTCTCAGTCTTCCTCCCCACCCAATGTCCACTTCCTCCCAGTCTCCTCTGCTACCTCTCTCTTTCCTACTCAGCTTCTGAATGTTGGCATGCCCCTGGTTTTGATGCAGATAGGCCACGTCCAATGGCCCAGAGGGGGTCCCGCAGGACCAGCCAAGAGGGTCCCTGGCTTCACACAGGATGGAAATCAAACGCAAGCCGGCTGGAGGTGAAAGCAGAGTTCATTGAAGATACAGAGAGAGCAGAAACAGGTGGAATGTCCACGAGCCTCGGAAAGGAAGAAGAGTGAGTCTTTGGGGGTCTGGAGTTTTTATTGAAGATGGCGGTCTGGTGTCCTCCGTATGTCACTTGTACCTGGAGCCAGGGGTCTTGGCGTCAAGGTATTTGGAGTCAGGAGTCTTGGAGAAGTTTATGACCCCGCCCAGTCACTCCTTAAATGTTATCTGTTGTGCTAGAAGACTCCAAAGAAATTATTGACTCCTTGGGCACCTGGGTGGCTCAGTCCCCGTTAAGCGTCTGCCTTCGGCTCAGGTCATGATCTCAGGGTCCTGGGATCGAGTCCTGCATCAGGCTCCCTGCTCAGTGGGGAGTCTGCTTCTCCCTCTGCCTCTCCCACCCCCCACTCCTCCCACCCCCACTTGCGCACACTCTCTCTCTCACAAAAATAAATAAAATCTTAAAAAAAAAAAAGAGGGGCGCCTGGGTGGCTCAGTCAGTTAAGCGTCTGCCTTCAGCTCAGGTCATGATCCCAGGACCCTGGGATGGAGCCCCACATCTGGCTCCTGGCTCAGCAGGGAGCCTGCTTCTCCCTCTGCCTTTGCCTCTCCCCCTGTTCATGCTCTCTGCTCTCTGTATCTCTGTGTCTCAAATAAATTAAAAAATAAATTTTAAAAAAGAAGAAAATGTTTAAAAAGAAATAAAAAAAGAAAAAGAAAAGAAATCACTGACTCCTTGACCTTCACCCAGAGGACATACATAAGGCCTGTGTAAGTCAGGGGTGCAGAAAAAGGAGCAAAGAAAAAAGCCCAAGCTTTTTCTCTCATGGGGTCCCCTCAGTTTCCCTGTCTCGGTTTCAGTTTCCTACTTAGAAGGTAAGTTGTGAGAATTGCCCAAGGTAACATGTGCACCTTGGGAGGAGTGGGGGGATGGGAGAGGCAGAGGGAGAAGCAGACTCCCCAATATCCCACCCCCCATTAATTATCGTTATGCTCTCTCCCCTCACTCTGGTGACAAAACGAGCCACCCTTTTCCCCATGCACTCTTCAGGTGGTTCCGACATTCAGGAACAAACTCTGAGAAAGATGACTGTTTCCCGCAAAAGCCAATGTGGATCTCCAGAAACCTGGATCTAAGAAAAGTCCACTGCCTCTGCTGGGGACTCAGTAATCCCTTTTTTTTTTTTTTTTTTAGATTTTATTTATTTATTTGAGAGAGAGAATGAGACAGAGAGAGAGCATGAGAGGGGGGAGGGTCAGAGGGAGAAGCAGACTCCCTGCTGGGCAGGGAGCCCGATGCGGAACTCGATCCCAGGACTCCAGGATCATGACCTGAGCCAAAGGCAGTCGCCCAACCAACTGAGCCACCCAGGCGCCCAGTAATCCCTAGTTTTAATTCATTCAGCTTCAGACCTTTCAGGAGATGAAGTGTGTGTGAGCGTGGGTATGTGACCTGCCACAGACGCTAGTAGGGGGCCTGGGTTAACGATAGCAGGCATTTCCGAGATGCTTCACACCATTTATCTTTCTAGAAAATGAAGCTGTGCATTAAATAACAGTTGGGTGACATCATGTCCACTCCAGGGCTTGCCGAAGGAGTCATTGATTCATTCAACAAACATCTATTAAGCAGGCAGTAAGTGTGTTGGGCGCCGTGCTAGGTGCCGAGGAAGCGGCAGTGAACAGGACGACAAGGTCTCTGCCCTGACCAGCTCCTGGCCTACCGGAGGACAGCCGCAAGTGAAAAGGAAATTGCAGCCCAGTGTGAGAGGAAGTTCAGGAGCTAGGCATCTAGGAGTCCAGAGGCAGTAGCCCAGCCAGGGGCAGTGGGGGTGGGTCAGGGAGGGCTTCCTGGGGAAGTGTCCTCTACACTGCGAAATGAAAGGTGTCTGGGTATTGGGCGGAGGGAAGAACAGTGTGAAATTTTCCGAGGTGTGCAAGAGCTTGAACTTCTGAGGAGTTAACAAACAGAGGGAGGCTGACATTTCAAGCGCACAGCACAGGACCGACTGGATGGCACTCGAGGGGCTTTAGACGCGGCATTAAGGACCTGGGATTGTCTCCTGTAAGAGACACAGACGGTGCCCCAAAGAGCTTAACCTGCATAGCAGGGAGAAATAAGCACGTGCTGGAATCCTTCAGGCCATCCCGTCTCAGAGCTCAGCCGGGATGGAGCTCAAAGCCAGCTCTGGTCTGGCTCCAGCACTTATTTCTGCGTAGCTGGAAAGTCACTTCACCTTTTTAGATAGACCTCTGCTGCTGTAACAAGTCAGGTTTGGACCGGGTGACATTTTCTATTAGTTCTCCGCACTCTCTAAGCCTAAACTAACTCTCCATCCCCTTCTGGGATTTCCTCAATTCCCTTAAACTTCCTCTTCCCTGCTTCCCTCCCCAGCTGGGAACACCTTGCAGGGCAATTTCTCTTTCTCATCTGTCTCTCCCCTAGAGTGCGAGCTCCAAGCCGGCAGCACTATGCCTAACGCATCTGTTCATCTATCTTCTTGCTAGGCCCTGGCACACAGCTGTGAAAGCTTGAATAAACCGAAGCACAGTCCTACACCCGGCACCCTGCTTCAGTGGTTACCGAATGCTTGCGTGCTTGTGTTAGATCCCCACAACAGCCGGAGGCACTGCCAGTCCAGGGGATACTACCTGCCATTTTGCTGACGAGCGGAGGAGCCTCTAAAGCCAGCTGTTAGTTACTATTGTCATTCCCAGGCCAGCATCCTTTCCCCTCCCTAAACGTCTCTAAGACCTAAGAGGATTATTCCAAGACTGCAGCTCGGCCCGTGTGTCCACAGACCTACCGAACTGCTGCGAGACTGCAGGGTGCCCACCCCACCCCTGCCCTGCCCTGCCCTGCCCTCCCCCGCTTTGGCGACGACTCGCCTGCGCCGCGCGCGCGCGCGCCCCACGTGCCTCGCGTAAATAAGCGAGTGCGCAGGCGCACCCGACCCGCGTCCACTGGCCGGCGCCCCGCCGCCCCGGGCGCAGGGGGAGGGACGCCCCCCCTCTGGCCGCGGGCTACTCCGCCCCGTCAGTTGGTCCGCGCGTCTGTCGGTCGGTGCGTCCGCGCCTCCGGCTTCGCCCTCGCAATGGCACGCTGGCTGCCGCTGCTGTCGCTGCTGGGGCTGCTCCTGGGCGCCGCTCCCGCCCCGCCCCGCCGAGCAGCCGACGCTCAGGCCCGGGAGGCGGCGTACCCGGAGCTGCTGGGGCCAGCCCGCTTCGCCCTGGAGATGTACAACCGCGGCCGGGCAGCCGGGACGCGGGCGACGCTGGGGGCCGTGCGCGGTCGCGCCCGCCGGGTGAGGACGCGCCGGGGGTGGGGGCTCCCGGGGCCGGTGCGCGGGGCCCCTGGTCGGAGGGTTGGGAACTTTGGCCTGGACCCCGGGTGGGGGCGCTGGACGCCGGAGAGACGAACTTCTGGTGCTCGGGAAAGGGAAGGGGGTAGGGCGGGGCTGTGGGAAGACGGGCTGGGGAGGGAGTGGATGTGCCTGCCTCACCCGCCCCTCCATCCAGGCGGGCAAGGGGTCGCTGTACTCCCTGAAGGCGACCCTAGAGGAGCCTCCCTGCAATGACCCCACGGTGTGCCAGCTCCCTGTGTCCAAGAAAACGCTGGTGAGTGATAGGGGCTCTTGTGATTCCCCCGCTCCCATGATGAGTTTGGGTCAAGTGTTGAGGAGGCAGCAACTACCCCACCCTGAGTCATTTCCCAAGGCTCTGAGGGCCAGAGACTAAAATGCCCTAAGAGTGGGCATGACAGGGTGCTGACTGCCTCACTCTGCGCCGTGGGGGGGATCGCCTTGTTCCTTGGAGGTGGTCTTCACATGAGGCCCTTCCAGCGCCATCTTGCCAAGGCCTTGCTCCCATCCCAGCACCCAGACTGGCTTCCTCCTCTCCCTTCAGCTCTGCAGCTTCCAAGTCCTGGATGAGCTAGGAAAACACATGCTGCTGAGACGAGACTGTGGCCCAGTGGATACCAAGGTTACAGGTGCTGGGAGAGCCCAAGGAGGCTGGCATAGTTCAGACCAGACTTCACGCAGGGTTCAACCTTGATTTCTTCTCTGTTCCAACCCTATTCAGATGACGAAAATGAGACACTGAGTTCAGTCCTTCCACTGTTGAACAAGGAACCCCTGCCGCAGGTGAGGCGCCCATCTCCATCTGGCAGCTGGCTGCTGCTTTATTTCCTCTTCTCTTTCTCTCCCCCGGGCCTGGGCTCCCTGGTGGATCTGTGAAGGATTCCTTGTAAAGACCCCTGTGCCCTTTACAGGATTTTTCTGTGAAAATGGCTTCAATCTTCAAGGAGTTCGTTACCACCTATAATCGGACGTATGAGACGAAGGAGGGTGAGGACCCAGCCTTGGCTGTACCTGGCCCAATCAGATCAGGACCTTCCCCCCACTTGGTACCTTGGTGTCGGGGAGGGGAAGGACACACGAGGCAGAGCATCCACTCAGGGACCCCTTAAATCCCCAAGTTCTTGCCCAGCCTCACAGGACTAGACCGCTACCTCAGGTACCTGGCCCCTTCTCCCATCTGTTTTTCTTGTCAGAAAGCATGGGTCTTCATCATTCTGGATAGAATGGGAAGGGGTAAAGGCCAGATTTTCTCTGCTGGTGCCCCCACCTCCCCAGCATGATAGTCTTTTTCCCATGACCCCCTGGCTGAGGATGCCCTTTGGACCCCATTTCGGTTATGCCTTCACTCCTGGGGTACCATCAATTCAGCGTGGCCCCAAAAGTTGTTCCCACCTGCCCCTCGTCACTTGCAGGTCTGGACCTCTCCTCACCTCCAGCCCTCCCCAGAGTTCTGTCTTTGAAAAGAGCTTCAGGCCTGACCCAGAGCCCACCTCCTCCCCAGGGATACCGAAGTGCCTTTCCTTTTATCATCTGCCTGGGGTCCAAGCCTTTCCTCTCCTGCTCCTTGGTTCTCAGAAACCCAGTGGCGCATGTCTGTCTTTTCCAACAACATGATTCGAGCGCAGAAGATCCAGGCACTGGACCGTGGCACAGCTCAGTATGGGATCACCAAGTTCAGTGACCTCACAGGTAGAAGTGGTGGCCAGAGCCCTCATGGAGCCCGGAAGAGTCAGGGTCTGCTCCCAAGGCCCCTGATCAGGGCTGCCTTATACTCTCCCCCGCCCCCATCCCCTGCCCACCTTTGCCCACAGAGGAGGAGTTCCGTACCGTCTACCTGAATCCCCTCCTAAGAGAGAACCGCGGCAAGAAGATGCGCCTAGACAAGTCCGTTAGCAGCTCTGCCCCACCCGAGTGGGACTGGAGGAGAAAGGGGGCTGTCACCAAAGTCAAGGACCAGGTTGGACCCCTAAGAGGCAATGGCAGGACATGAGGACTGCACTGAGGTTGAGAGGGGACCCAGCCCGTCTCTCCTTCTCTCTTGCAGGGCATGTGTGGCTCCTGCTGGGCTTTCTCAGTCACCGGCAATGTGGAAGGCCAGTGGTTCCTGAAACGGGGGGCCCTGCTCTCCCTCTCTGAGCAGGGTGAGCATCCCACTCTACACCCTTGACCCCCTGCCCAGCCCCTCCAGAGGGCTCCTCAGGACCAGCCTTCTGTCTCCTAGAGCTCTTGGACTGTGACAAGTTGGACAAGGCCTGCCTGGGTGGCTTGCCCTCCAATGCCTACTCAGCCATAAAGACTCTGGGTATGCATTCATGGGATCGGGAGGGGCAGTGGGACTTAGCATGAACTGGGTTCAGGTCTTAATGCTGACCCTTAACGAAGACCTTGAGCAAGTCAGCTTTTTGACTTCATCTGTGAAATGGGGCTCATCTTGCCCACTTCATAGAATTGCTCTAAGTATCAAGTGAGGAGGTAATACATAAAGTCCTTGATGCATAGCAGGGGTCTTGGTGTTTTTGCTGCTTGGAGGTCCATATTTCTGTAACACCACTGAGTCAGGTAGCAACACACCTCACCCATGAGAGGAGGTAGTGACTTAAACTGGCAATTCAATTCAGTGGTGGGCCTCAGCGGCCATGGGATGAAAGGCTGAGGGACTGGGGTGGCTGTACAGAGACTGAGAACCTGGTGGGTCTGGGCCACACTGGGAGCAGACTTGTCTGAGCAGGACAAGCAAGCCAAGATGAAGAGCCCCAGGAGTGCTGGGATGAGTAAGGATCAGAAGTTGGGCATCGAGTCCCATCCCCTGCCATATTTCTCCCTGATTCTTCCCTCAGCCCCCTTAGTCTCTGTTTTGTCATCCCTAGAGGGAGGCTGTTGTTCAGAGGGCACGGCCTTGGTCTGGGGCGGGCAAGGACCTTAAGACCTCACAGAAGGGGCTGGGTGTAGCCCCTGGCCAGGAGAAGACGAGTGTATGCTACACGGGGGCCCATATTTTCTCTCCCCACCCCATCCCACCCCCACCATTCCCCAGGAGGGCTGGAGACAGAGGACGACTACAGCTACCGCGGCCACGTGCAGACCTGCAGTTTCTCTGAAAAGAAGGCCAGGGTCTACATCAATGACTCAGTGGAGCTGAGCCGGAATGAGGAGAGTGAGTGAGGGCCAGGGTGAGGGTGGGGACAGACCAGGTGGGGCTGGGGCCTGGCTGTCCCTGACGCTGTTCCTCGCCTTTCTCAGAGCTGGTGGCCTGGCTGGCCAAGAAGGGCCCCATCTCTGTCGCCATCAATGCATTTGGCATGCAGGTAAGGCCCCAGCTCGGCTGCCCCTGCCTGTCCCTTGCCAGCTCCCTTCCCGCTTCTCCTTGGAGGTGGCCCCCTACTCTTTATTCTCCCCACCCCCAGTTCTACCGCCACGGGATCTCCCACCCACTGCGGCCCCTCTGCAGCCCTTGGCTCATCGACCATGCTGTGCTGCTCGTGGGCTACGGCAACCGTGAGTTCCACTGACCCCCTTTCTGACCATCCCCCTCAGATCACGGGCAGAGGTTGAACCGCAGCCTCTCAGGACCTCTGGAGAGGGAAATTGAGGGAATTCCTGGGAACCCTGTCCTTATCCCTGCTGCGGTCCATGGGCCAGGCAGGAGTCATCTGTTCCCTCTCTGGATGGGAATGCTGAGGCAGTGGAAGGTTGAACTGTTACAGATAAATGACCTGCTAGAGGCGGGGTGGGGGTGGGGTGGGGTCTGTGTGGCGCTGGGTGCCCTCCCCCACCCAGAGCCACACCACGTCTCCAGGAGGGTGGCAGGTGGGCCTGTCTGCCTTTCTGCTCCTTTCGCAGTAGGTCACAGCAGATAGTGGGAGAGTGCAAAGGGCTGGGGGCCCTGACTGGAGAATTGGGGGCCCCTGACCCCCCTGCACTCTGCACTGCTCCCCAGGCTCTGGCATTCCCTTCTGGGCCATCAAGAACAGCTGGGGCACTGACTGGGGCGAGGAGGTGAGTCTTGTCTCCTTGGCCCCGGCTCTCCAGCCCCACCTTGCCCTAGCGCACTCACCTGCCCACCTGCCTTCCCGCCAGGGTTACTACTACTTGCATCGTGGGTCCGGGGCCTGTGGTGTGAACACCATGGCCAGCTCGGCAGTGGTGAACTGAGGAGCACCAGCTCAGGACCTGGTGCTGACCAGAGCAGCCCCTTCCTCAGCCTGACCTGCGTGTCCAGGCCCCTTCCCAGGAGGCAAGCTGGCTGAGGGACAGGCACCGGGTACCTCAGGGTGAGCAAAAGGCACTGGGCTAGGGCAACACCCATACCCCTCTCCACCCCACCCCTACCCTGAAGTTCCCCAATGGCACCTTTGTTGACTTGTGGTAGCTAGAAGGCTCTTGGGGTAAAGGATGATGTCCTGGCAGCTGAAGCTGGCTGGGGCAAGAACCTTGGGCTTGGGTGAGGAGCAGGTTGGAAGAAGATATTCTGGTCATAAACCCAGCTTTGTCCTCAGCAGGCTCTGGCTTCCTGCCCTGCCTTTCCTCTGTCTGATGCTATAACTTTTCTGGTTCCCCCTGGATTTGGGGACAGTGTTTCTTTCCACATCTAGAGAAATTATTGTAACTTCCTTTTTCTAACAGCAATAAAGAGGTGTCCTAGGCCCCAGTGTGGTGTGAGTGCTCGGTACCTAATGGCAAAGGGGGGTGGTAGGGACTCCTGGAGGGTTGAGGTTGGGCAGCTGGTCCTGCCCAGGAGCCTGAGGACCCAGCTTCTGCTTCAGGAACTGAAAAGAGATGGAGAAAATCTCATGGATCGGTCTTTATTCAGAAGGACGTGGCTGGCCATTCTCTGAGGCCCTTGCTCCAAGAGATGGATGGGATCAGCCAGAGGGAGCTCCCTCTCTCCGACTCATGTAGAGAACCGTAGGGATTGAGGTCAGAGGTCACTCTCCCCATAGAGGGCACTGGAGAAGGCCACATAGTCCAGGGCTCCACCTGGAGCCCCGGAGCCCTTGTAGGGTGTCATACGACGGATGCAGTACTCGGCCTGCTCAGCGGGGAGTTCCCGCCGCAGCTCTTCGGGAGTGATGTAGTTCTGGGGGAGAAAAGGTTGTTGAGGACCCACAGATCCTGTTCCCTGTCCCAGCCCGCCAGCCCCCTCCACCACCTGGGACTCACCTTATCTCCTGCCAGGATCTTGAAGGAGGCCACAACTTGCTCAGCTGTGTCGGTCTCAGCTGTCTCTCGGGTCATGAAATCGATGAAGGCCTGGAAGGTCACGACGCCGGCTGCGTTGGGGTCCACCATGGTCATAATGCGAGCAAACTCCACCTCTCCCTGCAGGGATAGAGGCCGGGCACCGTGCCCATCGTGGGTGCTAAAGCCAGAAGGCTCCTCATGTGCCCTCCTAGGGACTGTCCAGCTTTGGCTTGACAACCCGGGTTACAAAGTGCTCTCTTTCCTCCATAGACTGCCTCAGCCTTAGCTCTGGTTTTATGGGGAGTCCTTTCTATTAAGCTGAAGCCTGCATCCTGCCCCTGGCGATGCCCCCTATTGCCCTTTGACCCTGATCTTTTTCTCTGGAACTCTCTGTAGTGCAGTTTCTCTGGGTAAAAATGTTGCAAGCTCAGGCTTTCAAGTCACATACAACCAAGTCCCAATCCTAGCTGTGTTCTTGAGCAAGTTAATTTTTTTTTTTTAAGATTTTTTTTTATTTATTTATTTGAGAGAGAGAATGAGAGACAGCATGAGAGGGAGGACGGTCAGAGGGAGAAGCAGACTCCCTGCCGAGCAGGGAGCCCGATGCAGGACTTGATCCTGGGATTCCAGGATCATGACCTGAGCCGAAGGCAGTCGCTTAACCAGCTGAGCCACCCAGGCGCCCATTGAGCAAGTTAATTTACCTCTCTGAGCCTTTGATAGCCCCTACGTGAAATGGGGTCATTCTGCCTAGCCCCAGTGGGCGTGATGAGCGGGAAATGAAATGCATGTGAAGGTGGGAGGGATACAGTAGGTGATCACGATGTAGGGGAGAGGCACTGATGGGACTCCTGCAATGCAGTTGGGGGCACTCACCAGGTCATAGCCCATGGAGATGAGGCAAGCCCGGAAGTCGTCAGGCTCCATCATCCCGTTCCGCTTCTGTGGCGCATGAGTAGATATCAGACTTGGTCATCCAACCCCACCAGCCCCCAGGTCCACCACCCCACAGAGCTGGGCCCCTGCTGACCCGGTCAAAGTGGTTGAAGGATGCCCGGAACTCGTTGAGCTGCTCCTGGCTCAGGCCCTTGGCATCTCGGGTCAGTACCTGGTTCTCCACCTCATTGATAGTGCGGGCAATGGAGGTGAGCAGCTGCTCCCAGCCTACGCGGATGTGCTGGAGAACGGGGGGCAAGCCAAGTCAGTGGGCGGCCGGTGCCTGGCCCCTCGTTCTAGCCTCACTCCCAGTCCATGTGTGACCCTGGGCAGGTCTTCCACCCTGTTGGGCGTTAGTGTCTGCCAGAGCCCTTCCTGCCTTGACGTTTGATGACTTACTGTGTATTAAGTCTTGATCACCCAGTTGTGGCCAGTCCTGGCCTGGCTTCAGACTGCTACGTGACTCTGGACGGGTCACTTTCCCTCATCTGATCTCAGTGTCCCCGTGGGCGCATTGGGGGACCTGGCCAAGCTGCACCGGGGCCCCTCCTGGGGCAGACGTGCCGGGTCCAGCCATGGCTGCCCCGGGCTTCCCCAGCCAGTGCCGCCTCCCCGCCCCTTCTAAGCAGGCGCCTCTCACCTCCATGCTGTAGACTGTGTGCTTGTTGTCGAACACCAGGCTCTCCTGCAGCAGCTGGTGGTCACCCTCCAGCCGGTCAATGTTGCTCTTATAGTTGATGATGTTCTGCTCCTGTTGCCGCAGCCCAGCCATCTGTTCTTCCAGAGAGCCGGCCGTCCCTGTGGCTAGGCGGCCCACCTCCTGTCGGGGGGCCCAGGCAGGATGAGAGCTCCCAGCTCCCTGTGGCCCCGGCCCTGGCCTCGCTCCCCCAGATGGGCCCCACCATCCGAGCCGTACCTCCACCTTCCCCTGGATCCAGGGCCCAATGGCATTGGCTTGAGCCGCAAACTGTCGCCGGAGCCTCTCGTTGAGCTGCTGCCGGGCAAGTTCTTCCTGCAGTGTCTGGTCACGGCTGGGCACCAGCTTTCGGACCTGGGAGGAAGGGTGCTTATGCCTGGGGCAGTTCTGGGAGCCAGAAGATGGCTTTGAGGGGACATGGGCTCCAACCCCTAGCAGAGCCCCGGCTACTCTGAGCCAAGAGGTCTGGGCTTACGTGGACAAGCTCTTGGGCAAGTCACACGACCTCTCTAGGCTTGTTTCCTCGTCTGTGAAATGGGGCCGGTAACTTACTGTAGTGGTTTTATAAAGATGTCCACACCCCAGGCTTAACTCCACTTCACATCGGGCCCGACAGGAAAATGTTGCTGTTAAGGCCATTTTGCAGCAGAGGCCATGACAGGCAGGGTGACATGTCCAGTGCCCCACAAAGGCTGTGACAGACCCCAGATCCAAAGGTGGACTGGAGTCTCCATAGCTTGGGACACGTGAGGTTCCGGGGTGGTTAGAAAGCACAGGAGTGGGTGAGAAGCAAGGAGAGGTCACAGGCACCACTGACCATGTCCCACTTGGTGTTGATGTCCTGTGGTGTGAGGTTGACGTAGGGATTGGTGGAGCTGGGCCGCAGTCCGTATGTTTGGCAGATCTTCTGGATCTCACCCTGGATACCCAGGATGGCTCCTCGCTCTCGGTCAGCCTCTGGCAACGTAGCCTTGAATTGCTCATGTGCAGTCAGCAGGCTCTGGGAGCGACAGGCAGGACCCATGAGCAGCACCCTCCACTTCCCACGGGCAACGGCAAGGGCAACAGTGTTCCGCAGGCCACCCGGTGGGTCTGCTGCAGGCCTCCTGTTTGCCAGCCCAGCATTTGGGAACTGCGGTTTCCCAACCCCATTCCCCAGGAACCCAAAGAAAGGGCTGATGGGGTTCTAGGCCCGCTTCCCTGTCCCCCCCAGCCCCCCTCCCCACTTGGAACCCCCACATCCACCTGGGTCTCCTCCACCGAGTGCACCAGCCACACATCTTGCAGGTCCTCCACGGCCCCATCCAGCCAGTTGTTGAAGGGTGCTGCCCGCCGGGCAAACTCCAGCTGCAGCTGGTCGATGGTCTCCAGGAGCTTCTCCATCCGCTAGGGGCCACGGGGATGGCGAGTCAGCAGCCTGCCCAACGGGCCCCTCACCAGCCTCTGGTCTCCAGCCCCCAGCTCCCTGGCCCCCAAACCCACCTCCAGCGCGTCCCTCCTCTTCTGGGTCAGTGTGCCCAGGTTGTCCCACTGGTCGCAGATGGCCTGGCAGCGGCTATTCACTGAGGCTGCCTCATGGTAGTCCAGCTCACTGGGGGCGAGGAAGGGGATGACAAGGGGTCAGACCACAGCCTAGATTTCCTCCTGTCTGCCTTCCTGGGACTGGAAGCCGTGCCCCAGATGGTGAAGGCGCAAGGCAGCCAGGGCAGGTGTGGGTGAAGCAAGGCATTCCTGGGGGGTGGAGGTGGGGGTTCCAGTACATTCCTTGGGTAGGGGGAGCCTGCGGGTCCTCCGCTCCAGTCCTCTGGGGAGCTTCGATATGGAGGGGGAGTGCGATTGTGCGAGAAGGGGCGGGTTTACAGGAGGAGGTGGGGAAGCCAAGGCTGATGGGGAGATTTTGAGCTAGCAGGCCAGGGCCTGAAGCTGAAGGGGGTGGCCAGGTTAGGGGTAGGCCATGGGGGTGGGGCAGCCCGAACATGGGTAGGGGAGAGTGTGGACCCCACGATGGGGACAGGGTTACTGGAGGAGGGACGGAGCAAGTGGTGAGGGGGAAAGATGTGGAGGGAGAACTGGGGAGAACGAAGTTTGCAAGTTTGCGGAGGGCAGTGGGGAGCAGGGCGGGCGAGGGGAGAAGCCAGGTAGGGTAGTTGTCCCCCCGGGGGGCGGGACCAGCAGCGGGCCACGCCTACTTGAGCTCCTGGGCCAACGCGGCGATGTGCTCCACGCGGTCCTGGTGCGCCGCCAGGTCGCTCTCAAAGGCTTCGTGGCGCCGCAGCAACGTCCGCACCTCCTGCAGGGAGGCCGACTGGTAGTCGTGCTGGCTCAGCATATCCTCCTTCCCTACTCGGAGAGAGGCCCGGCTCAGGTCACCCACCGGCGGCCGCGGCGGGAGCTGGGGTTCGAGCTGAGCTGGGTGACCTTGCGGAGTCCTCCCTCATCTGTGAAATGCAGGTGATTACACCTGCTCAGCTTATCCTCAGGGTCTGTTCTGCGATGCCAGACTGATAAAGTTAAGTGAAACTCCTGTTCTGGGCATGGCCTGTAAATGGCTTCAGCGTCCCTGATCCTGCACGTCTCAGGGTGGCCCTTGTACAGTTTGGGTCTTACTGGATCGCAAACTACCTCCCAATGACTCTGAGCCCAGTGAGCCCCCGACCTGGTTTCCTTAGCTCACCAGTTTCCCCAGAGCCTGGCACAGTGCCTGGCACTTGGGAGACCTTCTAGGAATATTTGTTGGATGAATGAATGATGAATGTAAAAGTGCTTTGAGAATGAATTACATTACACAAATAAAACCATAATAATAATCGCAGCCCCTACTATTTATTG